CTGACTGTATATGCTAAGAAACCGAACGCCCCTGGAGTGGACGGGATCGTGTTTGCCGTCATGTAGATAGCGGCTCCGATCAATGACATTTTGAATGGATCAGCAAAGGATGACATAACAAAAACGATCACAAATTTTGCATAAAATGCAAAATATCTGCTGTTCCGAATCAGCCGATCAGACCTGTGTAAAATCGAGCGTGAAACGTTTGGTTGGGTTGTCTTTGGGTAATTCCGCAAACAATCAGTCCTAACCTGCTAGTCATCTTTTTTAACATCAAAAGAAGGCTTGTGCCATCAATCCGAGGATCAGAAAAGTCACTTCATCAGCCATTCCCTCACTGATCATCTTAACGAATGTTTGATCACTACCGCACTCCGGTCTTCCTTGGAAGCAATTTACCTCGACGAACGTTTTTTTTTTTCTTTTGGAATGACACGTCACACATTCAGCAGTAAAGCAAATGGCTAAAACCATCATTCAAGCCGCTTACTCTATTTTCCTTGGTCAGATGACATGCGTCAGTTTGTTTTCCAAGAGAACTCTCGAGCTTCTGCCACGCGGAAGGACGTGTGACGTCACGGTGAAAATTTCCATCGAAAACGGATTTGAATGTTCCATTCAGTCAACCTTCTGTGTCATTTTCTTTCGCGATGGCGAATTAAAAAAATAATAAGAATCCATTTTTACCCTAGCAAACGATCACAGCAAAGACACGCTAGCACGGCTTGCTGCTAAATGCGTTGTCAGGGTCACTTCGGGCCACGTTACGAAAAGTATCATCTCTGAGGCAGTTACGCAGCAGCAGGACAAAAACAAGGAAGGTCGTTCAAGAAGAGCGGACGCTGACGCCAAAGCACGGCGGCCACTTGATTGCTGATTTGTGGTGCAAACAAACGATGAAAACTTCCAAGGCATGAAGTCTTTCATCTTTATGAAATAGCAGCACCGGGACAAGGACACGGTGTCCTCGTTACCTCCTCCTAGGAGCTTACTGTACGTTGTCAACTTAATTGATTCCCAAGATACTTTGAGGAATTTTAAATGGAGCTTCATCATCCGTGCTGTTTCTTGTCGTGTAAACGTCCTTTTACGTCAGCGGTCTGTCGTTGAAGGATGAAAACACGCACGTTAATAACACGCTTTTGTCGCCTATGTGCGGGGCATACGCGGTCCAGGTAAGCTAGCTTGGTGCTGCGCCGCACCACCTAGCTAGCAACGAGCTTCGGCTGGCTACTAGTGGGGCTAAACATGCTGCGGACTTGCTCCTTCGTCAGTTATCTCCCCCACGGCAGCGAATAAGCTACACGTCTGGCCAGTGTCGTTCTCACAAAAGCGATGACAAGGAGGACTTAACAGAAAATGGAGAAGCCATGCTAATTGCTAAAGTAACCTAAGATTGATATGGAATCATTGAAGACCGGAAGTAAATGCTTGGGTGATGAAGTACACTTTTTACGGAAGTTTGGCTGGAACCACGTTAAAGCGGGGCGTGTCCAACTTTGAGCAACAAAATAGCGTGCAATTTTAAAAAGCTAGGAGTGGGGGTTTTTTTTTTGTTTTTTTTAAACAAAGTAATGCTTCACACATCGTTAAACAGGCCAGATATGAATTATGTTACCTTACAGCGTACATCACTCAGGGGAGTGGTCCAGAAGATTAAAAATATATTAATATAGTATTTTGAATATTTATAATATCACGGTTGTTGTTTGTTTTCAAAATGATATCACAATAGAGCTTGTCTTTTTTTTTAATCAATTCAGCTTTAGAAATGTATATTTGTGTTTGAAATTTCCCCACTGAAAATGTTTCTCAACAAGAAAATGGAGTTTCCCCCCTTCTCATAAGTTCGATTGTTTGGTAAAAGCCTTGCTCCAGGATGAACTTAAAAAAAAAAAATTGGTCCATAAAATTGGAAAGTGAAAGTGAAGTCATTGGTTCGCAAAACTGCGAAGAAAAAAAAGGTATTTTAAGGTTTGATATATGTATATATACGATACGATTTGCAGTAAATATCATCGGCTCCCTTTTACTCTGTGGCATTCATGAAACAGAAAATCGTAAAAACAAGGTGGGGGAGTGTGCTAGCTAATCCTCACACATGTACAGGTACAGTATGTAAAAGCCACTTGTGTGCATGTGGTGACAGAGTCCATTATGTTGAGTTAAACCGGGTTTTGCTTCACTTCAAGTGAGGGTAATTAATGCCTCACTAAGTGCATTGGAGCTTTTTATTGAGCCTTGGCTAAGTGGAAACCCCCTCTTTTTTTTTTACAGGAGTCTATATGTGCTTTTTGAGGGTGGGTGGTGGTGGGGATTGGCCCAACAACACAAGGCGAGTGACAGTGATGAATGAAGCCTTTGCATGCACTGATCCCCTTGCATCGCATCATCGCGGGCCAAGGAGGCGCACAGAAGGTGTTTTTTTTTTTTTTCCGTGCTTTTTGCAGTGAGGTGATGAAGCGGAAAGTGGTGCGCACACCGTGGAGCATTCGGGTGACCTCTCATTTTCCTGAGCACTGTAAGATGTTTGCTATTGCGTTCATGTTCATGCTAACTCCTCAGTGCATGACAGAGCCTCTTGTCATTGCACTTGTGTGTGTGTATATGTGTGTGTGTTTTTCCCCCCTCTCGCCCCTGTGTAAACACAACTTTGCTGCCAAATTGGAAAGAGTTAAACATGCACATAAACTGGAGCGCACCCCCCCACCTCCCCGCCATGGTACCACCTAATGACAACACCTCCAGGGTGCTTGTATGGAACATTTCATTTCAGGAGCAGCTGGTGATAAACAGTTAGGGGCTATTTGTGTCGGGTAATGTACAGGTTCTGAATCTTCTTGGATAATGATTCGAGTCCTACGGGAAGGGAAACGCCACAGACTCACATGATTCGTTTTTTTTTTTTTTTTTTGGTTCAAATAGAAACAGAAACAATGCAGCAGCAACACAGCGGATACAGATTATCAGAACGGTTACACTAATTCAAGTTAACGGGAAGGTCAGATCAACCATATTCTCTCTTTTAAAACCGGAACTTTATTTATTTATTTTGCTGATTGTTGTTTTTTTCTGACCTATTAAAATATTACAACACAAGAAAAAGATAATGACATCAAAAATAGGGCAATATTCACAAATTGTTCTCTCTACTGTCACGTTACACAAAGCATTATAAAACAGTCAAATATTCTGCCTGTCATGAATATCTTTATTGTTTGAGCATTAAGGGACCAGAAGTTATTTTATTCATTTTGTATTTTGTTAATCAATTGGCCGATTAATGGGTCATCAGAATTTCCAAATGTCGGAATAGGCATCGTTTTAAAATGATTCTTTTTTTTTTTGGGTTGTTTGATTTAAATAAACGGAATCACCGCAAAAAAAAAAAAAGAAAACCTGCAAGCTAAGCTTAGCAAACTCACTGAAAAGAGTCAGATGATTGATTCAGTTTAACGGACTCACCAGAAACACCAACTCAGACGATTCCGTTGCGTCAGTGACTCGTGGACTCAGTATGATTGAATCGTATCGTCTCTCGCTGACCCAAATTAACGGACTGACAGGCAACACGGCAGTGCCAGATGCTACGCTCACCTTCATCGGTACCACAATACGGACATTTGCAAAACCAGAACACCGAAGCACCAGCTTTTTGGTTAACAGCCGAACGCGCTTACCGATTGTGCTACAGAGACTCGTGCGTAAGGCGCCCTCTGACTTACCGGCAACCCGTCACACAATTTCAGCTGGCAAAGGCTCCAGCTCACCCACGACTAATGAGTACAAGCGCGATAGAAAATGGATGGATGGACGAGTTTTCCTACTGCTTTTTCAGTCAATTAAAGTGTAATCTTAAATGTTTCCATTAGCTAAGCCCCGCAATTGCCTTTGGGGTGGAGGGACCCTTCTGGCACCCACCTCAACATTCAAGGTGTAGCAGGCTGATGAATGCATACTCAGGCCTGCAGTAATAGACCCAAAGTGCTCCTTTCATCTGGCACCCGGAGGAGAGCAGGAATGCAAATGTGTTATTATTACCGGCGTGGCGTGTATTTGCCAGCCTGGCTTTGAGTGTTAAGCGTGAGGTGCGAGAATTACAGTGGTGCCAGATTACTGTCATTATAATGTTCAGGTAGTCGTCATCATTAGCGGCGTGGCGGTCGTCGTCGTCGTCGTGGCGTATGGCTAGATCGTCTCGTGCACTCTTGCCCAGTCCGTGATTCACCTGATGAACGTGCGTCAGTGCAAAATTTTAAGCTTTTGAAGGCATGTGCGTTTCATTACGTGCGTGTGCGATTTGACGGGAAGTGTGAAAAAATGAGTCAGGAGATTGAGATTGTCAAATGGTTCTGTAAATGTTTACCAGCTGTCAGGCAGGTGTTTGGGGTCCACCAGCGAGCCATTTTCATCATTGCTATGGTTCTACCATCGACTAAAAGGTCCTCACTTGTCCATGTTACAAGTATAGAGTAGTAATTTCCATAATGAAGAGGTAAGGTGAAGATCATTTTTGCTACTCCCACGAGGACTAAATAGGAAAAGTTATCATTAGCATCCCAAAAAAAAAAAAAAAGTGAAAATCTAGTGACACCTGAACAGTCTGGATTTTACCAAAATAAAGACGTACTATTATGAAAATAAGGCCGCAACATGAGAGGAAAATTTCCTGAAGTTTCTAGGAGACGAATGTTAGAATTTTACAAGAATAAAGTCTCGTTTTTTTTCCACCCAAAAAATATAATATTATAACACGCAATACTGTGCAAAGTATTAAGTTTCTTTCAAAAAGTCTTCATGTTACGAGAATCGTAAGTGATTTTGACAGCAGTGAAGTTTCAATTTCGTAAGTAAAAAAGACTGCCGTAACGGCTACAGACATTTTAAAGGTAAAGGGAACAAATGTCGCTTAATGGGGTGTATTAAAAGAATGTATTTGTGCCTTGTAATATCCGTTCTTCTTGTGAGACTGACATTATTCATGCAACTCTGCGGTTGTTTTCTCATCGTTTCTGTTCAGTTAAGTCTCCTTCTGACTATCTAAATATCTAGCTAGCTCGCTATCTAGCTCGCTATCTATCCATGACTGATTTGGTTTGGCCGAGGGCTTGCATCCATCACGCTTAGGCACACGCAAGCAGGTCAGGGCTGACAATCAGGCCTCCCAGCATTCTCAAACATCCTGCTCGGACGCCGCTCCCGTTCCGACCGCTGAAGATGGATCCCGGTGTCGTTGACAGACGAGAATAGCGGGAAGACAAGACACCTGCGACGGGATAAGCCTTAACGCCATGTTCGATGTTTATCGCAGGTGAAATGCTGGTTTGGTTCCCACTTGCGTCCATACGCGCAGATAACGCAGTGGTGGACAGAGGACTCGTTTGATTTTATTTCCAAGCAGAAGGCCGATTAAAGTTGTGTTTAGACAAGAGAGGCAACAACAGTGGAGCACACCGCTAATGTTAGCTGCTAACTAGCCACCAACTGTCTATTTTCTGTATGTGTTCTGCGTGTCTATTTTCTTGCTCTCCTGTTCCACACTACAGTACTGTCACTGTTTTGTAAGTAATGTTTGTTAAGTTCAATTTCTACGGCATGTGGCATTCCCCAGGCTGTTGTTAGTATTGATATCAAAAAAACGAAATGCCTGCTTGATTTGTGGCTTTCACATTTACTTAAAACATTGCCTGTTTAGTTAAGAAGGGTTTTGTGGTGAACACTGATCCATCTTTTGCCTTTTTTTTTGCAGGTCAGACAACCCCATGAGAAGAGGAATGGGAACACGAGGCTGATAATAACTGGCCTAGTTGGGGATTGAGTGCAACTCTCCAGGTCAGCTGAACTTCATGTTCGTTCTTGGTCGTGTGTCTGTATTCAAGTGTGTTTGCACCTTTTCCCAGATCACACTATTTAGCGACCTGGTTAGGAAGCAAGCTGTTGACGAGTTTTAAATATAAAGTCCGGCAGCCAGTGAGAGTCAGTGCTACAAAGAGAAAAAAAAAAGTCCCAATTAAATTATGGTAAGTGGCCTAGACTCAAAAAAGGAGAGTGGGTCTGTTTCAAATTGGGCCTGTTTCAAATCACAAAACACCCGCTTTCTCCCGCCAAATGTAACGTGAGCTCAAAGCGTAGCCTCGCTGAGATGAAGACTTCTTTCACAGACAAAAGACAGCCGTCAACATTTACTGTTTGGGTCTCAACACGGCAACGGCGCGGCAGAGATGGCAAATGAGCGGCGAATACCAGCAGTGACTCACGTGTCGGTCTGAGCTCGTGTCGCTGTTCCCGGCGGCTTGTTTAACCTCAGTGGAAAAGTGTATTGCGATGAATTACTTAGCGAGTATGTCCTGCAGGGTACCTTGGAAGTTCCAGCGCACCATATGGCATACATTCTTTTTTCCAAACAAAGGACATTTTTTCCTTCTTTTTTTTTGTTTTTGTTTTTTGTTTTTAATGAATTCTGTCAAGACTGATAAATACAACAAGCATTTTTTTGTGTGTGTTGAGGCATACCAAGTTTTATTAGTTTGCGTGTGGTGACCTAACCATGCCCTCTCTGAAGCTCACAAAAAAAAAAACAAAAACCAAAATAAACGTTTTATATCTTTTATTATTGACTTCATCTCGTCCAGAATGCGCCTTTTTCAATCCAGATGTGCCCATGACAAAGGACGCATTGAATGTGTCGCTGATCACCCATCTCTGCGAACCAGCTGAAGTGACGGTTGTTTACGAGCCTCTTGTCGGATGCTTGCGCAGGAAGACATTGATTGACTCCATGGCACACCACGGTGCTGTTGTGTGTGGGTTTTTTATCTCGCCTCTCAATCCCTGTAATCATTTATGAGTTGCAGTCTGTCCCCGTCATTTGAAATATTTATGGGTACTAACATGTGAAACCTTCATTAACTCTACAGGCACACTTTTTAATTACAAAGTAACCCTATGAATTATATCGGCAAATCAAAGTAAAGCTACTCACCCATGGCAGACACCGAATAAAAATCCCCCTCAAAAAGAGAAACAGAAAATGACATCACAGTGCCGAAAGTCTCACGTAACGACTGTCACAGCTCACCTGTTTTGAGGTTTGGTCATGTGATGTTTGCAAGCTAAAATCATTCTTTTGTGGAAAAAATATACTTTGTTAAAAGTCCGTAAAAAAAAAATTAAAACTTGTCAAAAAATTAGTTTTTTTTTCATGAAAAAAAATATTTTCTCTCATTGTAAAACCATATACTTTGTGTTCCAAATAATTATGCAAATGAGGTTTTTCTCAGATTTTTATGAATAGTGTGCGCAAATGACAGCATAATTTTCAAGTCAACGCTTACAGAATAATTTTGTTTTGTTTGGTTTTATGCAAACATTCCAATGAAAGTGCCGTTTGCCGAGACTATTTTCTAAAAATCAGAGAGAAAAGTTCATTTGCACAATAATTTGGAGCGCGGTGGGCTTGAAGCAAATCAAGACATTTTTGGGGGGGGGGGGATGGCTCAGTGTCATGCGGAGGACAACTATGGCTATCATTACCATGACAACCATTGGCCACACAAGGGCTTTGTGACAAAGTGAGTGACGACGAAATGTTGCCAACTTGGTGACCTTTCTGACCCCTCCAGCGGCTACTTTTCCAAATAACAGGCTGGCAACAAATCTGGAGCCTTTTTGTGCTCTTATTGGAGTCTTCGGAAGAATATGAGACTCCCCCTGGTGCAGTAGATCCCCCCCTTAGCGTCCAGACTGTATGTTGCTCGTGCAAGGGCACCAGTAACTGATACCAAGTCATGGTCATTGGACTTGACAGTCTAAAAATAATACTGAAAACTTTAAGTGCACTGGAAGTACACTTAAGCCAGTTGACACGCGAGAACACCGTGCGCTAATCATATATTTACAAATTTGCGTGATCAGTCATAGCGCGTGCAGATACATATTTTACATTTTTAAGTTCTACTCAGTGAAACCTTTGGAGTGGCTTTCTTGTGAACTGAAATGAACACATTTGATTTAGGTTTCATCCGATGATTTAAGTGGGCTCCACTTAAAAGGATAGCTTCCCTCAAAGCTTACGTACTGCTACATTTTGATCGATATTTAACAGCGAGTGACCGCCGGGAAATTACTGTACATAATGAGATCAAGGGCGCCAGAGTTTGTGTGACCCACATTGACAACCGTGATGCACTTTGACGCACCGCTCCTCTAATGTGGAACAGGGATGGAGAGGTCGGCGGGGGCGGAGTGAGGGGGTGGTGGCGGGTGTCTCGGATACTTCAAATGTTTCAAATTCAGCAAAACAGTGACCCACACGCCCACCCTTTACCAGCGCCACGCAGCAACCTCGAGAGAACCGTGAAAATAAATCCGCTCACTTGGACCTCAGGAACGGGAGGGGGAAAAAAAATGCCCCTTTCTCACCAGCCCGCAAGACAAAGTGAAGCTTTTTGCATCCATATGCTGTACCTTCACGTTGGAACATACATTTGTGGAAATGCATCAAAATTTGAGTCAAACTTCATCATATGTGAACGTTCACAACTCACTCGACCTCATTTCAGCCGCCGTTGAAAGACTTCCTCATGTGTATTTGGCTTTTCATGATGCTTTGTCTCAAAGGACGACGGTGGTAAGAGAGGAAGTAAGCAGTACTCATTTCTTGGATGTATTGTGTGTTTTATTTGGGTAGGTTTCTGGTATGTCGAGCAGTTTTCTATCAACAGAGGACTTTGATATGGGTTTTTCCAGGCCATTCCGACGCATTTGAGCCCATCTGTTTGCTGCAGCATTGAGTGAGTATTATTTATTATTTATTTTGTCTTCAATTTATCACGCACTACTTCTTCACTGTCGCTCATTAAATACTCCATATATTTAAAAAAAAAACTGCTCATTGTAAAAGTAATATTAAAAGTAATAAAAACTAAACCGAAGCAGATAAAAACTAATAAAATCTAACAAACCCACTCTAATAAAAAAAACAAACAAACAGAATTTAACAAAACAAAAATCATAACAAAATCAAAAGTTACTCCAATGAAGAGCCCAAAACTTTTATACAATGCAGTATAACCCTGTTGTGCTGTGTCAGTTATCTTGAGCATGGCACCCACTATAAGAGCAGTAGCCGCACACTTCAGTATGTGCGTACTTCACTTGACCGGGATGCAAACATAATTTTCAATATTTAGCATCGCTCTTTTTAGCTTTTCATAATGTCACTTAAAACAATTCCTGAGCACTTAACACAGATTTTATGATTGGGATGGGAAAAAAATCAGGATTAGAAAGTAGCATTGTACATGTGTCATACATGTGCTAATCATCCTCCTGTATGAGTGTTTGCTTTTATGTGATCGTTTTTTTTCTTTCATAAGACACGATCTTTAGAAAAGTACAATGTGTGTGTGTGTGTGTGTGTGTGTGTGTGTGTGTGTGTGTGTGTGTGTGTGTGTGTGTGTGTGTGTGTGTGTGTAAACTGATAGAACCCCATGTCTGTTTTTATCATTTCCCCCCTCTTGTCTCCCTCCTCGCCTCCTCATGCTGTCAGTCTGCCCACTAGGCCAGTTCTTCTGGATAGCCGCCACAAGGAGGCTGCTCACTCGAGTTCCACTGACAAACTTGAACAGAAAAAAAGAAAAAAGAAAAAAACTGAACTCAGCAGACCCTGCCAGCCTGAGGACGGCAGCTTGTGAGCAGACGCTCGCAGGAGGTCAGCGGAGGCGCGAAATGCTTCGTGCAGCCAGCACGCCGGATCTAAATAGGTTTGTTGTCTTGTAAAGAGTCGAGTAATGAGTCGGAATGGAGATGCAAACGTCAGATAGATGGAGAATGCAAAGCGGTTGCCAAGATTGGACTTTTGGAGGATGTTCAAGTCAATTCTTCTGTCGAAACATGTTTGTTTTTAATATACCAGCGCAGGTCAGATTCTTGGTACCCTTCCGTTTTACAGAAAAAAAAAAAAATACTGGCGGCACATCAGATAAATGGTTTATCACATCTGCCTCTCAGTTCGGAGGTTAACATGTTCATGTTGTGACTCTTTTCCATGACTTTTAATTTCTCACTCTAGTTGCTGTTGAAAACACATACGATAACGATTTTGTATATAGTGTGCAATGATGGAATCAAAAAATGATTTTACATTTCTGATTTTTCACAGTCATAAACGCCCTCTGAGGAAAACCATAATGATGTTACCTGCAATGGACATGCGATTTGGCACCCCTGATTTGGATTTTTTTATTGATTTTTTTTTTAGATAAGCTTTTCTTCACAATTCTTAAAATCCCATCACAGGCTCTGGTGCTGGATTGCCAAAGATAGCGTATTTAGGCATTTCATGTTTTGTTTTGCATCAGTCAGTTTTACACTTTTAATGGCACCGGATATTAAAATGAATACGAAATTGAGGGGAACATGAGTCTCACATCAGCGCCGTCAAACAAACAACTCACTTGCAGTTTAAATTTGATGGCCGGCAGAATCCCAAAACATGGGCTTCAGATCCATGTTGTTGGAAGGGAGGAAGAAAACCGATACAAGCAGGCCGGGCGCGGCCGAGGTTCACATCCCGAATCTTAAAACTGTCAGCCGGACTTGCCAACCACTAAGGCACCGCGCTGCCTCGATTATCTTCCATGGGCGGGAATCGTTTCATAAATCAAGCAATGATTACGGCCTTCAAGTGTTCACAGGTCATGTGTCACTCATGTCTGAGGAAACCATAAAAACAATCAAGTGCTTCCGTGCGTCTGTCACGTTCCTCTGTTGTCAGAGGCTGACACAAAGACTCCACTAAAATAAATCCAGCGCTGAAGATTTATGAGCTTCATCCCGTCTGTTGCACACAGGGGCCCCTTGTTCAGGCTTCTGTCTGTCTTTGCCTTCCTTTTAGTCGCCACTGTCAACTGCCTTTTGCAGCATGCCTCTCCATTTATCTCCTTCTCGACTCGTCTCGGCTCATATCTCTTTCACCCCCCACCCCCCCCAAAAAAAACTTTTCTGCCAGACTTCCTGGCCAGCTGTTCCTGCAGACAGGGCGTCTCCCCTCGGGTGTGGCGGAGGTCGAGCAAGCGCTCCCGTGGCGACGGGATGCTTCTCAACACCTCTGTACGCTGTCTTCACAGCAGCCTTCACCCCGGAGTGACCTCGCCGCCACGTAACGCCACTGTGGACGCGGAACAACACGCGTGCAGTCAGCGCTGGATGGATGCGACCACGCCGGCGAGATACTTTACACCTACGAGTTAAGTCGCTCCACCCAAACAGAAAAATCAGACAGACACCAGAAACCCAAACCAGTGGGGTGGAGTTTCAGCATATCGTCCAAAGCCCATGGATATAACCTTTTGAAACACGTTGCCTCCAGGAAGTGTTATTTTTGTTTTTTATATGAAACCTGAAGCCTATCTTGAAACCCAAATTCGGAAGCCTGACCCCAATTTGAAAACCTAAATTGCTGCCACTTTAACCCCACTTTGAACCTGGTGTGACCAAGGCACATTTCCCAACACTGCGACAGTCATTCTCCATCAATCTTGTTTGCAGTTGTACTCCGTTAGAGAAGTTAAACTGGCACGATCTGGACCCTTCTTTTTTCAAATACGATACCCTCTAATAATTCACTATTTCCTTAGTCGCCATTGCTGGGAAATAATGACCTTCCCTGTTTACTTAGCTGTGTTGCAGTTTTTTTCTCCCCTCCCCAAAATTCCGGGGTAATTGTTGAGGCAGGTCAAACGCGACATTCCTGTCGGCTCCAAAAAAAAAAAAGGAAGCCAAAACAAAATGGCAAAGAGTTATGGCTTTGTTATGATCGGCATTGGGAACAACACATTCTAAAAGTATCGTGACAGCAGTACCCCTTCAGGCTTCACGCCATAATTAAAAGCCGAACGCTGGCTTGCAAAATAGGTGGAACAAGGAGGGAGGGGGGCGGGGGGGGGCGTTAGTGACGATTCTGGGGTTGGTGGTGCGAACTGAAGTGTACTTGGCATGTCCTCCTCATGGTTGCGTGGGTTTTTTTGCAGGTACTACAGCTTCCTCCTTCACGCATGTTTCATGAAAGATCGAAATTGTCCGTAGATGGGAATAAAGGATTCAAAATGTTGGTAGAGATTTTAGCCAGCATCATGAAAGTTGGTATTTTTGATTTGCTTTTGAGGGCCACATAAAATGAGGTGGCGGACCAGATCTGGCCCTCGGGCCTTGAGTTTGTGATCTAAATTGTCCATAGATGGGAATGGAGTAATAGAAGGTTGGTGTTGTTTTTTTTTTTTTTTTTCAGTTCAGTCAGGTTTTCCCTCACCGCTTGTGTTAAAACCCACATAAAAAAAAAAAAAAAAAAAAAAAAAAAAACCAAAAACCTAATTTGAAACCCTACCCGATTTCTTCTGTGTTGTCCACCATCGTGAATGGATGCAGATGACAGTGTTTGCTTTCCACTTCCTCTGCGGACATGCGAGGAGGGCTTGGAACACCGGCTCAATGCCGTCACCGCGACCTAATGAGGTGGTTTTAGCTTAAGCAGCGAGCGTTCAGCCCTACTCTATAATTCCGCATCCGCGGCTCCTCTGGCCAGCCTGCGTCACGAGTGCGTTGGTCCGTATTCGCCATGTCGCCCGCAACGCCGCCAAACATGTCGAGCGGCTGCCGCTGCAAGGTACGACGTTCCAAAGGAGCATCAATCAACGGGGGGAGAGAGCGGTTTGCAAATTGGCGACTCAAGGAAACACTTTCGCACAGATGAGTCAGGCGTTCCGTCACGATATCGTCAAATCCGTCCCCCCGCGCACACAACACCGGGCAATGGATGGGACCTCTCTTTTGTCCTCGCGTTCTTGGCAACCCACAGATCGAGCCGCGCTAATCGTCTAAACGTTGTGCCTGTGCCATGTTCGCTAATGATAGGCTGCCTTTCCAGAGCGCTTGGCCAGCGCCGTGTAAAGTAGCTGTCGGGTGCAGCGAGGGCAAATGTGCAGGAACACGGTTGGGCGGTGAAAACGAGATGGCGCTCCAACGACTCTTCACGTAAGCCTGGAATTCGTTTTAGGTCTGCAGGAACGGAGCCTTGTTTAAATAAACAAAAAGTCTTTATTAATTAAAGAAAGAAAAAAAAAACCCTAACAAAAGAGTTAAACACAAATCGTCAAAAATTGGAGAACATGAAGCACGACCAAATGGGTTGGAAAAAAACAAACAAACAGAAATCTAAGCTGTAGGCTGAAAGCAAACAAAAGATTTCCAGAAGGAGGCCAGAACCTGCGGGAATAGGGACATAAAGTGAAGAGTATCCGACAGAGGGGTCGTTCAAAAAAAAAAACATGACTGGAGCGAGACGAGATCCAAGGCGGGAGTCGATCTGGCATCTTCCTTGTGTGGGCGGAGAGTTGATGACTGGAAGCTGATGACCAATCGCTCCCGGTTGCACCATACAGAAAGAGAAGAAGAAAAATACAGGTAAGCGCAAACTGACTGATGACAGAACATGACAAGTTCCTTGAAATCCAAAGATTTGGAGAGCAGCAGATCACTTTGGACGTTCATCCGATCTCCCCTTCATGTTATACTGCTGAGGCAGTGGTTCTTTAACCTTGTTAGAGGTACCGGACCCAACCAGTTCATATGCACATTCACTGAACACTTCATTAGTGAAAAAACACGAATATGACTTTTTTCAAATTCAAGACAAAAATACAGTCTTAAGTTTTTAAAATTTTACGACGTACTACAAAGACAGTCACACGTTGACGACTGAGCGAACTAAATTTCCCGCAGCACTGATTGGACAAGCAATGTCATGCGATCATCCGCAGCCAGCGATGGCCAAGCGGGTGTGTCATAACAAATTGACATGTTGAGTCGGGTTTGTGTTAACCTCCATGGCAGAGGCTCCGTCGAACCCCTGAGACCGACTCAACGAACCCCTGGCGTTCGATCGAACCCAGGTTAAGAACCACTGTGCTGAGGCTATCCAAAATCTAAGGCCGGTGACTTTGGGCGAAATGTGCGGGTACACTGAGGACCAATCACCCATCACTTATACAAACGTCTCCGGACAAAACGGGCAATGAGCATTCCCAAACATGAATGCTTTGGGAATGTACGAGGCTACCAGAGCACTCGCGGAAAAAACACTTGAATTTGCAAATCCCTCACAAAATCAGAACCCGGAATATTTCTATCTGTGATGCAGAAGTGCTATGCACCATGTGACGCCGCGCACTTGAGAACTGTTTTTTTTTTTTTCTTTCTTTTAACAGAACAATTCTCATCTGCGGCCAAGTGTCCTGGAATGACACTCATAAGTGTCTCGATTCCCCGCCGAAATGTTTTATCGCCCTGTGGAAATCAGTTGAAAGGAAATCCATCGTCGAGCCACAGGATTGATGTTTTGGCAGAGGATCCCAGCCTTTTCCCTGACTAACCCGTCGTCAGGTAAGAGGAAGAGAAAAGTCTTCCCGTTGCATTTGTTTTGTACGGACAGTAAAATCCACAGCACGTTGGACCCCTAACACACACACACACACACACACACACACACACACACACACACACACACACACACACACACACACACACACACACACACAAACACACACACACACATACACAAACACTTCGTTTTTATGCTTCCTCTGAGACAACTAAAACATAAGCGAATCTCCACCTCGAGATGCGATGCAGGGGATGGGTGGAAGAGGCGTAGGATCGTTTCATGCACATCGTTCATCATTTCCACCCGGAGAAGCAGGAATATATGCACGTGTGTGTGTGGGTGTGCGTGTGTGTGTTTGGGTTTCTGAAGGTAAGGTATGCATTCAGTGTCGTTTTTTTTTTTTTTTTTGGGTTCTCTGGGATTTACGACCCTCCTTCCACTCTTTCCCAGCATCCAAAAGGCCGGCTATGTTTCTGCCCCGCGGGCGCTGACTTCTCCGCTTCCTCAGCAGAAAAAAAAAAAAAGGTGACGAGAGGAATGGAGGAATGTGTCTTTTCATCAACACCGCGGCAACGTGATTCCCTGAACGCGAAGCGGCGAGGCCAACGTGGCTTCCGGGCTTCACCTGCTTTGCCGAAAAAAAGAAGATCCCGGGAGGTGACAGATGTTGACTCAATGCTATCTGGCCATGTCTGCGAGATCTCACTTTTCGGGAGGAAAACCATCGGTGCGAGCCCGGGCATGCCTTTGTATGGCGGACGGAGAGAATAGGTGCGGTTGTGGACATACCAGACATACCAAACCAGGCAATAAAGCCCAACGTAAAGCGGTGGCGATTTGGGTGAAAGACGGCATGCGTTGACCCCTGCGGCTGAGTAGGCAAGAAAAATGGGACAGCAAAAGGTTTTCACCCCGGTTAGAGAGGTGCTGAGGGCCAAAAAGTTTGAAAAAGATTAAGCGGACTTTGCCCCATTTTGCAGTCAAGCCAACACAAAGTAGGTTAAGCTCCAATTTCGACTCAAAAATAGACAACTTTGCCTCTTAAAGTGGACGGTATTACTCTTGCGGGGTGCACAACTGATCCAATAAGAGGAAAGTTACCATGTGTATAGAATATTTCGGGTCAAATGGTCCCGATTTTCACGCCGGCGCACAGCCGCGGGTATGATATCTCCGCGTTTGTTTGGGTTTTGGAAAGCTTTCCAACGGGGCGCGCTCAGCCGCTGGCCAAACGAGGGCACGATGGATCCGACGCGGATAGCGCAAACGCACGCTTCACGGAATTGTAACAAAATGCGCCTTTCAAACATTCCCAACTCAGTGCTGACTCGCCTGTTAGATGTGGACACAGTGAGCCACTTCTTCACGCGGTATCACGATGAAGCCAAAAATATGCCAGCTGTGCAGTACCGTCTTCACCAGGTGTTAGGCGTGAGTCCGTAGCGACTGCTTTAGCACATTATGCTTTCAACCACACATTCAATTAAAGACATGACTCACTGCTGACTTTGCTGCAGTTTAAGACGCTAATATGTTCATACTGGTCATTGCTTGTTGAGACCTTCTTTATCTGTGAGCCGAGTCATCTGCGCCACAATATTATTTTGTAAAATTGTGGACGCCTCACCTTCGTTAGCATTTTGAGCTAACATCAGTATAACATTAGCACATGCTTTATGGAGAGTGGAAGTACTTTACTTGCCTTGAGGTAGTCAACTGACGATGTCTACTCAACGTGCAGAAGTAAAAAAAAAAAAAGTAGAAACAAAAATCTGTATGGACTTGTACCACACATCGGTGCCAGCCAGTCCGACACAAAGCTGCAGTTTGTGCTAACGTCTGGCAAAGACTCAGTGAACTTGACTGAGCCAGGTGTGCACGTAAGCCTCACAAAACCACTTTTTTTTTTTTGGAGTGAACAAAAGAGTTTTACAGGTGCTGGAAGCTTTTTTTTTTTTTTTTTTTTTTTTTTTTAACATGTCACAGAAGGAGGCCAGCTGTTTCCCCTTAGTTCCCGCATTTGGCAGTCTTGTGAGCCGTTGCCTTTTTGGAGCATATATTTGAGGGTAGCAAAGAATAAATCAGTCAGTGATCTTGATACGACAGTGTCAGAATCGATATACAGCTCTCAGATTAATCGTCACAATTGAAATGGCGATCTAGTAGGATATGTGCAGTATTGATGATGCAATTGGTGTTTCAATTTGTTGCCAAGTGCTCCAAGAGAATTTCATCCGAATGGAATCCTCGTTTGCTTCGGTTTGACTTTTAGTGCATCTCGGGTGCGTGCAGGAGGAAGGGGAGGTGCACCGACTCAGCCGAGATCCTGAAACGGGTGAAAAGCCTCCCAAATTTTAAGCAGGGCTGCTTTACTTTGATGATTAGAGTTATATCACGATGTGGGTGTGAGTGGTTGTTTGTCTTGACATGTCCCCTGTGATTGACTGGCGACCAGTTCAGGGTGTTTTGTCTGCCTTCTGCCCAAAGTCCCTGTTCAGGATAAGCGGTGTTGAAAATGGATGGATGGATAGCGTTATACAGCAAACACGGGTTGCGCGCGACGGGCCTTGTTCTCCTTCCCAACTATTTACACTCTTGTTGGCCGAATGTGCCTCCACATTTAATCACAGATTAGAAGCGCACGTGTCATATCGCAGTGTCCGTGTCGAGACTTGAGATATTTTATGACATCTGAATCGCTTTTCAGTGTGTGTGGGGGAGGAGGGGGGGGGGGTCTTTCAAAAGACATCAGTCGGGGCTCACTGTGTGATGGCCTGAAAGCGATACCCTGGTAAAACCAAGTGGGAAGGGCCAAGATTTAATGTGGCCTTAACAGTGGCAGCCCACCATCAATGAGACCCCAGGGGGGTACATTTGATTTCTAATCCTCACAGTCCTTCGCCGCCGCCACCGCAAAGACATTTTGTGTGCAGAACACAAGCTACAGTTTTACTTGGGTCATGTTCACATTTCGTGTGCTTTGTAACAGCACTTGAGAGCTCACCTCGGGCCAGAAACGGTGTCTGTCTTCAATTTGGGTGGTTTTCCCCATAGCTGCTTAAAAGCTAACCAGTCAATCAATCACATTAGGAGAAGGATGGCCTGAATCGATAAGATTGTTGCTGAGATAATCATTGAAAGGGATCATTGTTTTTTTTAAACAACTTTTATGGTGCGTTTTAGCGTACAGTTCTGGTTTGGGGTTTCTCTCATAGAAATATACGGTTGGAATTTCACATCAGCTCCAGTGGCTTCAGCGTAAAGGGCTTTGCCGAGTGGAGAAATTGCCCCGGTTATAAACTGAAAGTCATTTACGTACGACTCTGATGGGGCCTTTACTTGTTGACTTGGTTATATTTATATTTCCTACTCTGACAACGTCAAGCAGCAAATTGCAGTTCTGATTTCTGACATCGAATGCCAGAGAAAATGTTCCGAAAATCATGGCAACATGAGAACGAACCTGTGTTACATAAGCTAAATGTTTGCAGCGCTATTTTTAGCAACACTTGATCCAAAATGAGCCGTGCGTTCTTCCTGTTGTTGTGAATATTAGCTGGCTGGAGGCCTGTGCGGCGTTCTTACCCTTCAGACTACTCTTGATGCTTTGCGATTAGTAAAAGCGGGTACGACCAGTTACAGTTTCTGGTATCTGATAGTCAACGGAACGGACGTGTTTTCATATTTGAATATGCTAATTTTCATCTGTTAAGACTGCCCCATTACATTTTTGCATCCTACCTGGCAGCCACGCACCATTAAAAAAAGAAAAATGTTCTCGAGACTGGATAAAATGCGAACCTGCTAATAGTCGGTATGCTAACTCATAGCAAGATGTTCCAAGCGTGTTCACTCCCGATGCTCCATCCCCACTTTACCCAAACGTTCCGTTTGTCTTCAACGCGACTCGTTTTCCAGAGTTTTCTGCGGCGGTGTTGACGCCACTTCCTCCCGTAGTTATACTTTTGCTTTCCGCGCGGTCGTTGAGGGCGCCCGCATTTCTCTAGTTTGACAGACTTCCAGGTATGTCCTTCTAAAAAAAAAAAAAAAAAAAAAAATCGGGGCTCTTTCTTCCCCCCTGGGGAACGGCCATAATGCGAGCCAGATTGTGAGAGCATGATGGTAGGGGAGAGGAGGAAGCGGTTGGGGGGGAATATAGATCTCATGATTACCAACAATTGACCAATTCATTTGAGACCTCCTCTGACATGCCATGTGTGCAGCTGCGTTCAAGACTGCGGTTATTGTGCGCGTCTGTGTTTGCATGCGTGTGTTTAGGCTCAATCACTCCCACAATAATAAATCAAACCAGGGCCGGTAGCCTTTAGATCACGGTCGGGCCCGGAGCTTTGTTTTTTTGGAGAATGCATTTGCCAGCAACGCCAGCGCTGATTGAGCCACCGAGAGTGCTGTTTGGATTAGAATGAGCTGATACGTTACACGGGCGCGGCGCCGGCACTCAAGCGCGTGTTTACGAGCGACAGCCGTGCTTAAAAAGACTTTTTTTTTTTTTTTTTTCTTTGGTGGGATCGTAGAGCACAGCGCCTTCAAGCGCCGGCTGAGTTATGGCGAGCTTGTGCAAGTGGTGAATTCTGTAAAGCAACAAAGGTAACATGATGAGCACTTTAAGCTGAGGCCCTTTGTAGCTTCAGCCCCCGGATTGCTTTGGACAGGCCGCCGTAAAAACGTACAAAGAGATTCCACAAATGCCAGCAAACTCGGACAGATCGCCCACGGCCAGGTAGCGCTTCAAAACATCCTCCTCGCTTTTCGCACACATGTGCACAGCTGGCATGCAGTTGCTGCTCGCACCTACGCATGCGCCAAAGAACAAAAGACTTTTTTTGTTGTTGTTCTTGTTATTTCTGGCATTTCAATAATGTTGACAGAAGTCAAAAAGATCCGTTTCCCCGTTGCGTCTGGACCCCATTGTTTTTTTTGTGTGTGTGTGTGTGTTAGCCTCTTGCGATGGCGCTAACATTCCATTTCAGACTTTTGGGCTTGTATCACATGTGCAGTATTCACAAAGACGTAATTGCATCTTCACAGCTGTAGGGGAGAGCCTAAAAGCCACGTTCAGTTTTGTTTTTTTGTTTTTTTTTTTTTTTGTTTTTGAACATTCAGTCAATCTTGTATAAGACCAAAACTGCTGATGTTCATGCCTGTAAACACCTTGGCCTTATGTAAGCATACCTCAATTTCCTGCCCACTCAAAATTAGCGACACATCTCCATTGCATCATTGCGGTCAGCGCGGTAATACTGTACGCCCCCCCCCCCGACTCCCCCCGGTGCCACCTGTTGAAAGTTCCTCCGACCAAGGTCTGCCTGCATTTGGCGAAGGGTGGGGGGGGGGCTTGCGTTTTCAGTGCAGTTTCCATTCAAAGGAAGGCGACCTGACGTGGGCGACACATTAGTATACGCATAAAAAATTAGTCTGGGTTTTGTGAAACACATGCTGTGGCTTTTCTGTAGTTTATGAGTCATGTGCATTGCAAGGTTAAGGGGAGGGGGGTCATCACGGTGAAGTTCCACTTCGCTGAAAAATATGCTTTCAAGCCATCTTAGGCCTCATTGTGAGGCAAATTCTAAATCAAATTTGAAATGTGAGATCCATGAAAGACTCAAATTTCCCAATAGGTGCGGAGGCGAGAGTAAAGGGCTCTTTGTCCGGCACCCATCGATAGAGTAACTAAGTTACTTTTTCAAGGTAACTGTGGCAACACTGGTCAAGATGGAGCGAAGCGATGCGGAAGATGAGTCAGCACCAAAAGTGACCTCCTCCAAAGAGACCACGTGACTGTTTGTCCCACGCTCAGCCGGTTGGCGTGCGACGGCTCGATCCCACCGTAACACGACGCCGCATGTCGAGAGGGGGGACCACATGGGGAGCACCGTGTTGTGATTTTTCTTTCTTTTTTTTTTCTTTTTGGTTTCATGAGTAGGAGACGGACGTATGATACATTCCAGCCCCCCGGCGGCCCTGCTACCTATAGACATCAATCCTCTCCCCTTTCACTGGAACAATAAACCCACTGCCGCCGAGAGAGAACTCATATCAGAACACCTCCTCTGTGGAACGTTGCCTGCTCGGTCCATAAAGCTCAACCTTCTAGTCACCTCCATAATGGCCTGTGAGGGGCACTTCAACCCCGGCCCGAAATCGCAACTCTAAAGCTTGACCTGGCAGTGATGATGTGATACGTGACCCCCCTGAATGAGCACCTCATATGGAGAAATGTTTTTAACGGCGTTGTATAATTCAGATGAGACTTGGTGATGCTGCGTTCAATGAGGCCCAGATGGAAGAGGATATGAGTTTTGCAAACAACCCCCCACCCCACCTCCATGACACCTTTGTTCACACCCACAACCAAAATTCCTCCTAACTTGTCACTCCTTTCACAGTGATGTGTCAAGTGTGATACAAGTTCCGCGAGTGGCACCTCAGGCTCCGTTTCATGGTACAAGAACGTATCTCTGAATTCAAATTTTAAACTTTGTTTGTCAGTGGCTTAACCTTCCACTTTTATCTATCTCAGGGAGCGGCCATTTTGCCACTTGCGGTTGACTGAAAATGACATCAGAGTGCCAAGGGGCTCGTCTTGAAAACGTCTCGCGACCAAATCCAGAAAACAGGTGAGCCGTGATTGTTCGCTACCTCAGCCCTGAAGCACTGTGATGTCTTTTTAGTCAACAGCAAGTTTCAGGGCTGAGTGTTTTTTGTTTGTTTGTTTGTTTTGTAATGCATGCTGAAGAGTGATGGAGAAAAAAATTGAGCAGACTGAAAACAAACACATTGAAATCTATCCGAGACAGTCTTGAGGACCTCTTGCCTGGAAGGCAGTGGTGTTGACCCAACCCCATTATCCCTAAAATAAAGAATGTGTGTTTTAGTGCCTTGACCTTGAGTTTATTTCATTCCGTGAGCATGTTCATAACTTAAAACATTTTTGTCTCAAATGATTTTTCCTCACTGTAATAAATGGAATGCCATGAATTTGTTCCAGACCTCTAAAAAAATCACCACCAATTTTGGGGGGTCTTTTTAATTGGAAAATAGTACACCCCAGTCTTGTAAAAATTCTATACAGTAACAGCATAATTACATAGCTTGTCATGAATTAAACAATTTGTGTATCACAATTACATTTCAATGCTCACTGACTTTGCACTGTGCCTTCTGATGTGCAGGCCTTGGCGACCAGGGAGGATAAAGAATATATGCCGGTGAGTATTGTTGTATCATCTGTCTATGTGTGTCGGGTGAATCGTAAGTTGAGACATCACTGTACATGGTATTGAGCTTCTCAATTTTTATGTACCTTTTCTCTTGGTGAATCGAGTCCCTCAGTCTGGTTGTGGTGTTCATCGTCGGGATCGTTTCAGCCCGTGTTCTAAATTGAGCGCTTTCAGCACATGGGTCAACATTGCTGACATGATGGATGGTCATTCCGTTTTTAGTGTTCTTTGAATGCAACTGAGTACTCTTTTTAAAACCTGAAGAAAAAAAAAATCAACTTCGTTACCCTCACAGTCTCAAAAGTCAAAAGTCTCGAGTAGTTCACATCTTAACGACTCTAGTTAGCAGCTCTGGTTTCGCTGGGTTTGACCCGCATGGCCGCGTCGGCTATTCACTGCCCCGCATTAATTTGGGCCCTGCAGTAAGCTTAGATGTGTTTCACACTGACTTTATTGTGAAGGAAAGCAGCACAACACTGCAGAAATGAAATCCTGCTTTCTACCCTTTGTGCAGTTAAAGTTCCGAAGGGTCTCCGCCCCCCCCACGCATACCTTCCAAAAAAACACCTCCTTAAATCAAACAAAGAATAAACACTGCAGTCATGCGGAAATCCCTGCATCGTAACACATCCACGTATTTAAGTTCCCTGATGGATGGCCTGTTTGACGGGATGAAATTTCACATGCCGGACGTGGCGGTTCGCAATGTAGGCCGGTATGAACGTTTCATTCAAGGCAATGGACATTTCGCAGGAAATGCTACAAAATGTCCTTTTCGGGATTATGTCCCCCGCCTACTGCCCGAAGACAGCTGGGATAGGCTCCAGCGCGCCCCACGACCCTTGTGAGGGTCAGAAAATGGATGGATGGATTATATTGCGTTGAATAAATTAAATTACACTCACGGTTAAAATATATTCGTGAGGAGAAATTTCTCAAATTTTGTCTTTTTGAAACAAAACAAAAAAAAATTGCATCAGAATAGGCTGTCGAATTATTGTTCACATCTGTGTTTCATCCGTGAGTGTTCAGCAGCGTTACCCTTGCACAAAGTTTGACTAAAAATGTTGCTCTTTTTCTACAAAATTATTTTGACCATACCTTATTGCGACCTACTTCGTTAATTTCTCATGAGACTGGCCGGCCGTTCCAAACGGTTATGGACGGAGGCCTAATTTGTTCATTTCTCCATGTGTGTCCGGCTGCAAAACGAGCGATGTCCTTGTGGCAGAAGGTTGCCCTAAAAATATGAAGCTGCCGTGGAGACTTGTCCTCTTTTTGGGTCCACAGAATTTATGTTCAAGCTTTTTATTGACCTACTTAGGTGGGGCCACGTGAATGATATATGGAGTGATAGGTGGCGAGTGGGTCGACGATGATGGGGGGGTGGGGGGGGCGATTGTGGCGTTGTATACCTCTGTGTATGTGTATGCAAGGAGAGTAGCCTTTCACCTCTCGGTGACACGATGAAAGTTAATTGGTGACGGGGGGAGTGGCGACTGTCAGGGGGTTCGGGAAAATCAACATAACACATTGTCCCGAAATTCCCGATGGCCAGAACGCCCCTGCCGAGGACATATTTGGACAAAAACATATTTTCTCCTCAGGTTGCTCTGGCCACCTCTCCTAAAAGCGGCTCCATTCTCAGGTAAACAGAGGGTGGCAAACTGATCATGATCCCGATGATCTCAGAACAGCTCAAGATCATTTTATTTTTATCTCACAATGTTACCCTCAAAATAAATGGCTTACAGATTTTATGAGTGCAAAAAATGAGGCGAAGAATCCCCACTCACACGGCACGCTAAGCTTAGCGGCACCCCCGCTTTCAAATATTTTATTGTCTTAGTCAAGCTGTATCACTCCACTCACTTGACACCAATTACTATTTTCCTATTCAACCAAGGTTTTTATGTCATCTTGTTGCATATTGTGACTTTTCAAAAAGAGTGGCGAAATGCAAATACTGTATAGTTACATTTTCCGTGGGCGGGCACTCCAAAGACCCAACCGTGTCCAAACAAGCCATGAAAAAGTGAATTTTCCGAAATATAACCCCTTTATTGCTTAGAATGGAAAACATCTTTTCTTCTCGTGCCACCTACTTGAAACACAAACTGTCAACGGTGACATAACAGGAAGTGCAAGTGCACGCAAAACCACCTGAAAGTTATTCAAGAAACAAATATAATGGCGGCGGGTTCCATCGCTTGTCAAGCGATCATCATTAGCGAGTGTAATTGCTTGCCTTCAGCCTCAGCTGTCACTCTCCTTATCAGCTGTTACGCAACGCGAGGAGCCTTACGTGTGCTCGTGTCTGGACAAGGTGTGAGATGGTTGTTGTCGACATGCTGTTGCATCAGAGTTTTCAGAGGATTAGGCCAAAGCATTTCGGGATGTGGAAACTCGGAGAGTGTGCGGCCATTTGTCGCCCGATTTTAGGAGCTAGCTGCGTACGCTAAAATTAATAATTGATAGCGCTTCACACACTTCCATTTTGTGGCATCTGTGACCAATCAAGTATGAGCTCTTATTTTGAAATAACAGGAATGCATCACATAAGAGGAGACTCATACGTGGATGTGTAGGTTGATTTTCAGCATGTCAAGTGTCAATATGTCGATTGACAGACGCTAAAGGAAGCCACAAATGAGACAAACAGACGGACTTTTTTTTTTTTTCGGTCAAACCGAAATAAAATGAACTGTCTTGAAAAATCCCGAACTATTCGAACCCTGGCTGGAACGCGGCATCAACAAAAGCACAAAGAACGATCAAGCAAAACCCTGACCGACTTTAACGTAATCTAACTTTGGAAGGAAAATTTTGAACACCCGTTTATCTTATAAAACGTTGAGAAAGGAGTAGTCTGCAGCAGTGCCGTCTTAAAATAGATCTCAGTCAGGAACGAGGTGGTGGGGGTGGGGGTATGGGGGAGGGGGGTGACGGCAGGTGTGAGCTGCTCCCCAGGTGCGCTTCCACAGGCCGTGCATGCAGCACCCGTAATCAGCGCGCCAGGGCGCTAATGACAGCTCTGCTGTTGTCAGACACGCAAACAAACTCCCCTGGCTCGCACGCACGTCTTATCGCTCGCTGCCACCTCACACAGGTCAGCCACATCCGTAATAATCTCAAAGAGGAACAGCTGCGCGCTTATGTAAGCTGCTCCCATTCACGCCGGCGGCTCGGCCCAAAGGTCAAACAACACTTGGGGACAAAGCACTCGGGGGGGAGGCGAGGTTGTTGTTTTTCAAGCCAATGTTTTGATGCGTCGCTTCAGCGGGAACACAAACCAAGACGCGGGTGGGCAAACTTTTGCGCGCGAGGGCCACGGTGGGTTTTTGAAAAGGGCACATGGGCCTGGTCATAATAATAATAATTCAATGTGGATGTGGAGGGGAAAAAAATTGAAAAAATGGAAAATAAAAATAGTTAAGTCACGAGTTACGTCATGATGTCATAAAAGGAAAAGACACGGTGTTAAATCTAAAATACTTTTTTTTTAACTCGTCTTTATTTGAATATTTGTGGGAATGCGTTGACAGTTCCCCCAGATTTTAACATTGCGTTTTGTAAAATCATTTCGTATACAATCAAATTAGCCTATTATTTATCATGGACTAAACAGTACGGGCCGTGGCCAGAGTTGGATCGATGAATATGCTTAGCAAATTAATCAATCCATCAATTAGCTGGAACAATCGCAGAGATTAATCGAGTCTTTTTGCTTTCTCATCTGTAAAATGGCCGCATCTCCGACATATGCAAAAAAAAAAAAAAAGTCACTTGCTGTCCCTTGCGGCGATGTCAAGACGTGTAATGAGGCACATCGGGCCTGCAGTCTCGCCAGGATGCCATTATGTGATACCCGCGTCTCCCGCGTCCTATTTTTAACCTGGTCCCTTTCTCGTTTGAACCACGCTTACATCCAGCCCGTATACTTTTCTTTACATTCATGGGTTCGACCCCGCGTATAAATCAGATCTCAGACGCATATTTCATGCTGGTTCTCCTTTTGTGATTACACGCCCTGTTAAAGCGGATACGCACGTCCCTGAATTTTCCCTTTTGGAAGGGATCACTCTCTGTGACCCTGCCGACTGCGAAAGCTCGCCGGGGTCCCCATCTGTAAACTGCGCAGCAAACATGACCCCTGACTCAGAGGCCTAGCTCAGGAAATAATGAATTCACCCCTGGAAACATGCCGACTAGGTTTCAAACCAGGAAATATGCTACCAGGGGTGACAAACTCATAGATTTTTTTCACAGGATGAAAGCAATCGATACGTTTATACGTTTTTAAAATGTAGAGCAAATACAAAGTAAAGAATTAAACAGTTTGCACATCAAGATTGAATGCTGCAGTCCAATTCATTGTGCTGCTCCTTCTGGTGTGCCTGCCTTGGCCACCACGAGTCATGCAGACACACAAAAAGAATAAACACTTTTTTTCTACAACTACTCCAGGCAGTAGCTGTTGCTCAATTTGTGTTCTTGTCCGTTCTTACGTCCCTGTCGTCTCGTGAAACGCCTACCCTCCCCGCCCAAGTCCTGTTCCAATTGAACGCAGAGGATACTTGAATGTTGCTCTTGTCTGCTATCGTAAAGTAAGGGTGCACTGGATGGAAAATACCCCATGATGCATTTTGCGCTGCTGTCAAAATGGCTACTGTGAGAGCGGAGGAGAGGACTCATGTATGTACGTTTTTATTTCCCCCGTTTTTAGTCATTTTTTTCCACAGAGGATAAAGAAGATATGCCAGTAACTCTTGTTATATTGTCTACCGGCATGTTTTGCTCATGTGTTGCTTCTTAAACTGTGCCGAACGATGCTAACCGTGAGCGATGTTGATGGCCTTTTACACCGTTTGTGAGTATTTCGCTACGCTGATTTTCCTAAACGATGTGGTTGGCTTAAATACACAATGTGTAATTCTGCTTTTTTTTTTTCGTTTGACCGCGAACTTCAACTGGGAGTGGCGTGAAAG